CCCTCTTCCCCCCATCCAGCCCCAGACAGTTCTCGCATTTAGGCCTGCCTCGCTCCTTTTTCCGGTCGGGCACCATACCTACCACCACCACCACCTGCTGCCTCTGCTGCCCCCCGCCCGCACCTCCCCGCCGGCCGGTTGCCGCCAACCGTCGTTCGCGCGCTGTTTCTCTCTTTCTCTTTGGCTATCCTCGGCCAGCAGTGTGAGAGAGACACCTAGCAAACACCTCGGCGCCCGGCTCGTGATGGCCGGGCTCCCCCTCCCCCCTCCACCTCGACCCTCACGCATTCCGCCGCTCTCGGGCCGGCCGAGCCCGCGTCCCGCGTCAGTTCAGTTCGGTTCAGTTGAGTGTGTGCCGCCGCCTGGAGAAGTTGCCCTCCTCTCCGTGCCGCTCTCGCTCCGCTCTCCGCGCTGCTTTCGCTCCGCTCTTGGAAGTCCTTCCTGCTTGGTGCTACTCGCTGAAGACTTGGGTGCCTGCGCGCTTTGAGCCTCATCAAACTTGACTTGTTTTGCGCTGTTCGACGACGACCTCACGCCGCCGCCGTAGGCCCAGCGAGCAATGTCTGTGGTGTCTTGTGACGCATCAACGGGGCCGGGGGCGGCGGGGCTGATCGGGTCTGGTCATTCCCTCCCGGCGTCTGGTCATTCCCTCTCGCTGACCTACGCCGCCGTCGCCGCCTCTCCCCCCCGCCGCCGGTCCCCGACGCCGCCGTCAAGGTAGAGACCTCCATAATTCAAAGACTCCGTTACATACGTATATTCTCAACTTATTGTGTTATTGATGCCTCTGCAAGCGCGCATTTGCTTAGAAAAACATGACTGGAGCGAGATAGGAATGTCGCTGCATTAAAGTCTCCGCTCTTATCGCGTTACAGCTTAAATTTTAACGGTTTTTGTTGTTGTTTATGTTTGTTTTTCTTTTCCTTTCTTTTGTCGTCTGAAAGTAATCGCGCGGAGGTCCGCTTATTTTCCGTATTGGTGATACAGGGTGAATGCTCTAAGTTGGTCTCTTTTTATCTTGGTTATCCTGCACCGCCTGAGGGTGTGCGGCCGGGCTTTGCCTACAGACTCTCACCGTGGCGCCTTTTGGCGCCGTGCGGTGCGAGTATGCAACCCGTACGCACGCTTGCATGCGGTACAGTCTAACCAGGAAAGAAAGTCCGGCGTAGAACACCCACCTTTTATGTATGTGTTTGCCTTCATCCGACCAATCAGCAGAAGGTTTCGCTTGTTCGGAATCTTTCCACCGTAAATTTTATATCATACTCCGCCCAGTCATATTTTTCTACAGGGTGGGAGATCCGCGCCGTGTTTTTGTTTTCTGCTTATGCTGTACCGGATTCATGCGTACGGGCGGCCTTGCCTATCGTCGCTCGCGATGGCGCCTTACGGCTCCGTGCGAGTATGCAACCCATGAATGCACGCATGAATGCGGTACAGTATAAGCAGAAAAAAACACGGCGCGGATCACCCACCCTGTATACGGCGTCGTTTGCAGTGTGTATTTTGCGCGGCGCTTAACTTAAACTCGGGCCTCGCCGTCGTGTCTGATTTCAGCGGCGAATGGACTTGGTCTTGGTCCACGAACGGTTCTGGCGAGCCTTGTGAGATTTGGCGGCAGTCGCGACCTGCCGGTCCCGAGGTTACCCCTCCTCCTCCGCCCTCTCCCCCTTGTCTTGACCTTACCCCTCCCCCTCTTCCTACCCTGCCCTACCCGCTCCTCCCCCC